CAAGTAGATGTATTCATGGACATAACATTGAGACTATAGACACACAAAGATCCCACAATCAAGCTTTTTTGGATCTTGTTTCCGACAAAACTGGATACTTGACTTTCCGTGATTCCTTGGCTTCCAATTAAAACCATGAACCTTTAGTTAAAGAAAATGGAGTAAAAACTTTTCATTCATTATATAAATAAAATAAGGTATATTAGTTATATAAGTTGTATATTTAAAGTGAAATAGTACTCATATTAAAATAAAATTCTATCAGAGTATTTGCATCGCCCCTAAATTTTGGAGAAGGCATAGAGTCGCAGTGTGTGATATGTTTTTCTTTAGAATCAATAACAAGAAGGTATCAATGGAAGCCAGTTAAGACTGAAATAAGGATACCATGACACATGTTGATGCTATTTTATTGAAACCATTTTTTACAATCCCACAAATAACCAAGAAAGTCATCAAAATTTACTTATAGGTACATAACCAGTTTTAAATCTCTTGGTGCGCAACTTATTCATAAGACTTTTTTTTAAACACCCAATAAGCATTACTAATAAATATTTTATATAATAATACTAATAGTAAATAAATAAAATAGACCTTACCGCAATATATATATATATATAAACATATCTCACACTATGATCCAAATTATGATGGCGTTTGTGTGCTTCCCTACAATAATCTTGTTAAATCCATCAATAACCTCACCATCAGTAGAACGGTTGAACAAAACATCAACAATAGATGTTCCAACTATATGTTGATCTTCAGAATGCCAAATAGTGATCCTAAGAAATTAAAAAAAAAAAAAAAACAATAATAAATGTATTTGAAAATATAATTAAAATTACACCAAAACTAAAATAATATTACTTACCTAAAATTTGCATTGCAAAGAAAGTTATTAATAATCTCATATGCATTTTCAGAAATGACTTCTCTCCCGTTGAAGTTAATATTCTTGTGATACTCATCATATTTTTAAGGAGAATAACCGCTCTCATTCTCGCTCTCGCTCTTGACTTCATTATTGATAGTTTGAAAATAGTTTAATGCATCAATTTCTTATTTACTTGCAATATAATAATAATAATAATAATAATAATAATAATAATAATAATAATTAAACAATGATTCATACTTACCAAATATGGAGGTCAACTATTATTTTATATTATTTTCTCTTGTTGATTTGGCAGAGGAGAGGCAGATGAAGTCATAAATTGACTATCTTTTTTTTTTTTCTTTTTCTATCATTTCGACCACGCACATCTTGGACAATGGACAATATCAAGTGTTCTAAGTTGCATATATTATCGAAGTCCTCTCCAATCAAGTTGTCCCCCTCTTATTTTTCTCAAGCCTTTCAATTATCTCCTCTTTATTAGGAGCTTCGATGTCATCCCCATCTCTATTGAATTTTTCTTCATCCTCATGCATTTCTTCATAGTCACCGTCCTCTATAACTTTGACATCATCAATAGTCATTTTCGTTGTATTTTCATGTCCAACAACTTTCATTTCATCACTAGGCATTTCCTTTGAATCATGATCCCAACAATTTTATTTTACCGATTAAATGTTTTCCAACTCGCTCATCTTCACTTCCCTCATTCGATTTACTGCAGCAACATATCTCTTCGAATTCATGTAGTAGCGTGCATAGCTTCTCAGTCAATGACTTATTTTCTATTACTTTGTTTCTTAGTCTCATGCATTCCTCATAAACATTCTAAAGAAATATACATATTAGACATTGCATTGAAATTAAATAAATTTAAAATTTGCAATGGTAATCAAAGACTCCTCCACTTTTCTGACTGTGAATTCAATGACATTCCATTGTTTAATTTGTTCGGGTAACTTCAAACTTCTTTCACCATCTCCAATAGATTTTGTCTCGATCACAACAGGGAATTCTTTCATAAATCTATTCCTACAATATCAATTTTTAAAGTGTTACCTAGTTGTGAAATTTAAATTATGAATTTATAAGATATTAGAACAAATAAAACATATACCATTAGCCCAACTATGCTACCATCCAAGTAGACTATTTCTCTGGATTTGAAGTTTGTCATTGACTTTACTAAAAAATCATATACAACTCTATCCCAAGCATACTCTCCAATAGAATCCAAATTGTCAATATGGTGAAATAAAAATGAAGGAATGGAGTAATTTCCAGTTGGAAATAAAATACAACAAAACACAAACAAAATAAATAAATAATTTTTTTTTTGAATGTTTCCTCCAGTACTTTCTTCTTTCAAAGCACTCCTTGTATGTTCAACAATGATTTTGTGTTTGACATTACTTACATTTCCATTGAACAAGTTTGTAAGTAATTCAGATGTTGATAGGATGTTATCAGCTTTAAAATGAAGTCTCATTGTAACAAAAAACTCTTCATATGAAAATGGTATAACAACATTTATTTGTTTGGAGGTTTGGATTTTAGATTGAGATTTGAATAGTAAAAATTTTGAATTTGAATAGTTATATGATGTGATATAAATAGGTGTTGATGCGATGTTTTAAATGTAAAATTGATTTTTAGTATAATATAAAAAAATAAAAAATAGGTGTTTGATTTGATATTTTTGGGGGGAAAATTTTGGATGAATAGTAGGATTTTGACAAAATCCTACAAACGAACACACCCTAAATGTGAACTTTCGTGTTGACCCATCAAATTGAGCCACTAGCGTCTCAACATGATCCCACGGAATAATGTCTTTTGGCATGTCGAAAAAATGCTTAAATAAGGTTGGCGCATGGCAGTAAAATGCACTTCTTTCATAATTTTTTTTTTCGAAAAATTTATTTATTTCCAAACAAAAATAGTAGAACAACGAAAAATGTATCTTTGTTATAAATCAATAACAAAATTTATAAGTAAGGATCTTAATATATTTTTTCTACAACATATAATTGTATTACATCAAAATAATAAAAGTAACACCAAAAAGTAAAAGTAAAGAGAAATAAAATGTAGTAAAATTTGTGTAAAAGCAACACTTAAAATTATAATAGAATTCCAATTTATTCAAAACTTTAATTTGAAAATCAAACATAAATATGATTATATTAAAAAAATAAATTTAAATTCAGTCAACCAACACGAGGACGAAGATACACAATTTATTGTTGACTCGGAAATGAATCACTTTATCCTCTGTGTCTCCTAATTACATATAAGTTTTCTAGAAATAACGAAAGAACATACTAACATTAAGCCTAAATGAAAGCAATTAAAAATAATTTTTTATTAAACTTGCGATGTAGTCCACTATGGAATAATGTTTTTATATGTATTTTATGAAAAATAATTATATGATTTTGCTATTATTCACTTAGAGAGTTAGTTTTGTCATCAGCTAAAACATCAAGAATAATTTTCTAATAGACTAATTATATGTGAACCTCCAAACACATCACCACTTACTTGACTAAAATTTTTCGTACTTCCTCGGTTGTTTTAACTAAGGCAGTAAATATTGAGCTCAAATACATCTATCCACAGTAGAACCATATATATTTAGGCTTAAGTTCAAAAAATATCAAGTGACTCAGCAAGTTATCGAACTTAAATAGAAGTTAGAAATAGCTTAAATTCAGTTCCAAATCAATGTTGGTTGACCTCAAATTGGGTTTTAAGTCACATGAACCACTTCCTACTCATCATTAGAAACTAAAACAACATATCGAACAAGGAATATAAAGTAAGTAATATGCATTGCAATGCCGAACAATAACACTTCCATAAAAAAATAAGAACAATAAAACTATTTTAGACAAAGTTAGTTGAACAATGAACAATGTGAACACAATGTACTTCATCCACCGCAAACAAATATGCTCTCCGTCTCAACATCTCTATTACTTTTTGAAATCTCATGCTATCCATTTCTACTCTCTTTATTTATATGTCGACTTATCGTACATTTTTAGGATATTAAGATTCATCATCCATCGTTGCTAAAAGTAAAATATAAATAAGTTGAGATGAAGTTCAAACCTCTTGGGCACTTTCAATTTCCGTTCACCGTGGTCGTCTTCGCCGTCGGAGAGAATTGAGAAATCAATTTCTTCTTGTCGCGTTGCTGGGGTGGAAGGTTTAGGGTAAATTAATTTGGGATTTTTTTTTTTTTTTTTTTTTTAATCTAGGGTAAGATAATAAAATAAATAAAAAAGGTATAAATAGGGTATAAAAGTAAATTTTTGAATTAAATTTATAAATATGGAGTAATTAAGGATTTGTAGAAAGTTATATGGAACAAATTATAATTGGAGATTGAATAGGAAAATATAATGAGAGAGAGAGATTTTAAGAAAAATCACCCATTTTTTAATGTAACTTTTATTTTTTTCAAAGATTTTTCTTTAACACGTTTTTTTCAAAAAAATTAATACATTACGGGTGTGTTTGTTTTGGATTTTGAGTTAGGATTTGAATAGTAAAAAATTTTGAATTTGAATAGTTGTACGATGTGATATAAATAGGTGTTGATGGAATATTTTGAATATAAAATTGATTTTTAGTATAATATAAAAAATAAAAAAAAGAGTTTGATTTTATATTTTTTGGGGAAAAAAATAGGATGAATAGTATAAATCCACCAAAATACTTCAAACAAACACACCCTACATATATTTATTATTTTTATATTTCATACACAATTTCCTGTACTTCACATAATTTTTTTTTTTTTTTTTTTTTTCCAAAAATCTCACAAAACAAACACACATAATTCAATAACTAAAACTAAAAATAGATCATAAAAGTTTTTCGAGGGATAAAAGCCGAAAGTATTAAAAGAAATTTTTATATTCAATTTTTTTCTACAAAAATTGAAACATTCTCTTTTCATTTTATTTCTCTGTTGATGGATGTCCGAATACAAAAAGGAATAAGAAAAAGATAAAATAAGCATGATGGGAACCGAACCCTCAACTGAGGATCAAGGTCAAGGTCGAGGTCGAGGGCTTTGCCATGATTATTACATAATAAAACTATTATATACCAAAACTGTAACTATCACAAAAGTGTAATACTCTGAGCACCACAAAAAATTACAATTATAAATTTCCAAGGAGTAAAACATTCGCATACAACACCACAGATTATTCATGAGAGAAATGCTCCAAAGTCAGATCAATCATCATGGACATATGCAAGCGTGGAGAAGAAGAGGAAGAAAAAGAACCCGGATAATCGACCAACTCGTAATCAGACATTAACTTGGAAGGATTCGACCACTGTCTTCAGTCGATCTTTCATCTTCTCCCACCTTCGCTCATTCGCGCCCGTTGTTAATGTATAGAACTTTCCTGCAACCAAATAAGTTTGTGAGTACGCTCACTTTGCGTTTTTGCCAAATTGGGAAAAAAATGAGCACAAAAATAGATCATGGTGTCGGATTCGATGCTCATTGTCTTACCGTTGCCAATGCAGACGGTGCTGAGAGCATGACGGGTGTAGTTTGGCGCTTTTGCGATGAATTCGAATGTGTAATAAGCTTTACCATCGACATCGTGCTGTGAGATCACCAGGGGAGGATAAGGGGTTAGGAATGGATCCATAATTATCAAATGAGTACGGAAAAGTAGTGTTTGTGGTAAATGAGTTTTGCATTAATTGTACCTCTGTGGCCTCGATTAGCTTTGTCTTTTGAGTGGGAGAAGCCAATACCTTATTGATTAAGGTTTCGCCAACCTTGAAACAAGAAGAAATAAACAGAGTCGGGATTGTCAGAGGCGTCTGGGAGATGATTGAGATGGACGAATGAGATCATGGAATAATCTAGCAGGCACATCCGGGATACAATCGATGATGAAATGATAGCACATTATTTCAATGCTTTTTAAAGATAACGATCATTTGGATACCTCTTGTGGTGGCCCGAAATCGCGGATGTCTTGTTTGCTTGTAGGGATCAAATTTACGCTGACGCTTTCCAGAGGTTCGATCACATCTTTGAAGACCTTGTCTTGTCCTTCCACAACTACCTCCTGGTTTGCCAAGAAAGATCAGACCTTCATAGTTAGATTGTAATAAGAGACAGAAATAAAAATAAAAGATAAAAAGAAAGAAATGCCACGAGAATGAAGACCTGCCAACCGAAAGGATACAGAAAAGTGTAGCCATCTTTCTTATCTGTGACCAGAAGAAATCCCTTCTTTGTTTCTGCAGCTACTGAAACATATAAAACGATATTCTATTAGCGAATCAGGCGTAAATTCACCACAAAACAACCGAAGGGCACATTCTTTTAACTAAAAGGAAATTATACTTATCAAAACTACTTTTTTCCATTCACCACATGATGGTAAAGTTTATTCATGAATATGGAAATGAGTATGACTATATCGGAGGGCCATGTCATTAGCTTCCATGAAAATGAGGAACTTAACTATTATGTCAGTACAGAATCGTGGTATATGGAATGTTTTTCTCATGAAATGATGATAAGAACATGAAAATCAAAAAATACATGAATGCAGAAAGTAAATGATAAAACAAAGAGAATCTAAAATTCCGTAACACAGATAAGATACTACAAGCAGATCCTAAGTTCCTAACAGGAAAATGACCTACATGCTGTTATAGCCGGCCGAGAAAGGAATAACCAAGGGGCAGTCGTTGCCCCCATAGAAAGGAGTTCACGTCTTCCCGGTCTATCTGTCGTAAACATGAAAAATTGGTCAGTAGATGGTTCAATTTGAATTAAATTATACTGAGAAGATGACACACATAAATTATTTTGGAAGTCTAATTTCTCTCTTTATGTTCCTAAGTCATTCATAGTTGGAATAGCATTTCGATATAAGGATATCTAATAAAGAAGGTTGACTATGGGCAACGATTGAAGAGTTAAACCAATTGTACCAGCTTTTTGTGCTTATAGTGATTCTAAAATGGCTACAATAAACCCGCAGATAGACAAAGACAAAAACAACACAACTAAATATTTCTAAAAAATGCCGTTTAGTGGTGGAAGGTGTACTTCCATGGTGCATTGCATATTGATCCAAGTCTTAAATAAGACCAAAAAGGAAAAACAAAAAAGACTATAGCACAAAATACCTCTGCAAGGGGAAGTTGATGTCGAAGTTGAAGGCTCATGCTCAGATTTCACAACAAAGGATATACTTCTTCGCAATTGACCATGACTATATGGACCTAACTGATGAGCTGGAAAATATAAGGCCGAAGAACTTTAAGCATATAAGTTTCCATAGGTAAATAATGAAAACTAGAACCTGTAGTGATGCATTTAGCAGACATTTGTGGTGAATAGACGCTGATGTAAGCAAAGTCACCATATCTGATTCAACTAAAGGGAAAGTATCAGATCACAAAATTTCGAATACAAATATCATGAGTTCCAATCAATTAATGAATGGAATAAAATTATTCGATTTGTATACAACCCTAACGTAATATATATAATTATTCAAAACCTTCTGAAATGTTGAAACTGAAATGCATGCATTCACGCGAGCTCCTGAGTAATCATTTATGCATCACTTGCTCATCCAGTGTGAAAAAGATAATGATGGAAATCAAATTTGATGCAGTTACCATGTTTTTTAATCTTTTGAGCTAACATCTTCAATTCGCTAGAAACTTACAACTTGTCCAGTCACTCGCGAGGATTCAAAGTATTAACCTTTTCCTTGTGATCGAAAGATCATTACAAAGAAGGCAATCAAAAACATTATTAGACATTTAAATTTATAAGATTTCAAGTTGTGTAGTTCCAATAAAATAGCACAAAATTTGGCTCCTTTCCATATTTCTGTCCTAAAACATGTTTGTTCATAATCCAATATGCCAGAGTTCTGTTATTTTTTTTCTACCTCAGGAATGCAGGTTTTGCTATTTCAAGTTTCAAATATCTTCACTTCGATTCTAACCCAACATTTCAACCAAAAAAAAAAAAAGCCTCCAAATTCTTAGAAACAATCTACGCACAAATCCAGTTACTAACTTGTTCAACTAAAAACTTGAGTGCTGTCAACTCGCATTTCCGTGAATTTCTTCAAACTTTGATAGGACAGTTCTTCAAGTTCAACGAAAGTATCAATTCGGGCATTCTATGCATCTAAAAAAATGCAATCTAACAATTCCTGATGCAAAACCTAGAAAACTTAACCCTAACCAATTACAGAGGAAGGTCACACCCCCCTAAACTAAAGTCGGAAAGGCAAAAAGAATTCGATTGTAACTGCAACAGAAGACACTTTCACACATTGTCGTTAAAATCAAAACCTTACCCCTCAGGTCAGGTGGGAGAACTTTCCGGCGAAACAGGGACGTCCGCTGAGCGCCACGCGTGTCCACAAGAAAAAGGAACTGCTTATCGCTTCCAAATCAGCCTCCTATTTACATCTCCTTCAATTTGTAAGAAGTCAGAAAGCCCCTTCTACACCATGAACCATGCAAACAAAAAGGTGCAGATAGTTGTGCCCCTTTTCGTCTTTTCAACAGGTACCCAGCCTGCACAAACTATTGGCCGAAGGCTAATTTCCTGCATGATAAAATTAAATAGTTATTCGACTTTATATTTTATTAGAAAAATTAGAAAATAATTCCTATGTCCAGATTTTTTTTTATATAGTAAATTAGAAAAAAAAAAATTTATTGATTAATAAAAATGTTGAAATTTGTTTTTATTTTATGCTTTTAAAAGTGTAAATAAAATAAATATTTTCATAAAATTTATGAGTATTTTAATATTTAAATACGAATAGTTTCACTACAACACGATACTTTTAAATAAAATAGACGAAAAAAAATTAATAAATAGATATATTGAGTTAGATAGAGAAAGTATATAAATTAATAGTAAATTTTTTTATTTAAAATGAGAAAACAAATTATATTGTTATTTTTTTAAAAGTCTTTTGAAATTACGAAGTATTCTTTAAAAAATTCTAAAAAAAAATTAAGTATTGAACAATAACTCATTGAATTTTATTAGATTCTACGTGGCTCAGGCTGCATTGAGTTCCAAGACCATGGACGCATGGATGGATATGTTTATCTATTTTGCTCAAATTTGTCGATGTATTTCAAACGGCCTTTGATAATTGTTGAGGAGTTGCAATTGGTCTATTTTTTCTCTATCGCGACGAGGCTATTAGATTTACTTTTTCTACTTCGTGCTAAGTTTTTCGATATGACAATAATAAATTGTAATGAAATTGTAGGATTATACTAAATATTACATTACAAAACAAAGTTTGAGTCATATTTATATATATATATATATCACTGAAACATGTGTGAACAATAGGAAATTTAAAAAATGTGCCTAGAATACATGCAAATAATATAAGTTGTTTGAATAGTAGAAGATTGCATTAGTGTTAGTATAATCGTTTATAATTCTACTTCTTTTACAAAAAAGACAATTAATTTTTAACCTCACAACAGAGTTATCCTTAAGAATGCATAGATAACTCTATTGTATATCAATTTCTAATCAACAAAAGCATTGCGTAGTCTTCTTTTTCTTTATCCATAAGGTATGTGAAATAATCAATCACCAAATATTTTGTTACATTCAAGTGTCTAAGTAGAACATTATGTTTAATTAGTACATCACTCTTCATGTGCGAAATGTTGTACATGTTGTGTCCTCTAATCAATAATCTCAATCATGCAACTTTTCAAGTTTAAAAAATCCTTTTTTAGTATTTATGATGTTAATTCTTCAAACAATAACAATATTGTATTCACTAGCTTATCCACATCGGTCCAATCTTTCTCAATTTAAATACTTTGTATAGCCGAAATCATCCAAGGTCATTCACATTCAATCTAGAGAATTGGGGATTGTGCACTAAATCATGTCAAATACATCACTTGCAGCAGCTTGTTTGAAATCAACACATCATTTTTTATGTGTGATCTAATGTTATCTGGTTGAATATAAATTTTTTTCATCATGTGGGCTAATAATTTCTTATTTACATCTAGGATAACCCGTCATAATATTACAACATAAGTTATTTATACATTCAACATTCCAAAGTTAGTGAATGCATAATTGCATATAGTGAAATAGAATTAGTTAGATTGTACTAGTTTAAATAAGTACTAGTACAAACTAACATTATTTATTCTAAAATTCGATGAATTCAAGCACTCAAATACTTACTTTGTTGATTAAGTAAGTCTTAATCACATCTTTTGTAATTGTTTCAATAAGTCTTGTGACTAGTTGTCCGCTGCACGATTTTTACTACTCCTTTTAGTAGTCGTCTTGTATGAAAATGGGAAGATATCAATTTTTCTATAAAAAAATTAATAAACTAATCATCTCGATACAATGATCTTGAGACTGCACACATGAATATAGTTTTCGTAGTAAATTTTTTATGTTGACATATTCTATGTGTATCTTCCTTACCATGAGTTATATAGAATCTCTGTGTTCCTGTAGTAATATAAGACCACTTCCCATTCATATGTATGTCATTATTCATATATTTAAATCAAATATCTTCTTCTATTGAAACATGAACAAATTTTCAAAAGCAAATTGAAGGTTCGGAAACTTATTTGGAGTTATCAAATCGGGTTAAGAGCACTTGTGTGGAGTCTTAAAGCTTCATTTGAAAATCAACTCCAAACATTGCTTTTAAAACAATTGATTTATGTAGCCATCATTCTAATATATTTGTTTTTAGAGGAATCATAGCTATCAACTCATAAATTGGAATTACAATTTTGAGCCTGATAGCAGTATTTTTCTTACTACTTAGGTGAATTAAATTATATATCATTATTCAATTTTTTTTATCATTCTAATATCAGCTAATAGTTCTTCTAGAGTATGAAAAAATTTTTGCGCCTCCAACATTTTACCGAGAAAAGGTTTGTCATTTTTAAGTTTAATAAACAAAAATTGTACTATAGCATTACGTTCTTTATTAGTAAAGTTTTTTCTTTCCTATTATTGTAGGCTAAAGAGGAAAGAAATGTTTGGATTGACTAATCACAAAAAAACTAAAAATATAAGAAAAGATACAAAAATAAAAATCATTAATAAAAATAGTTTACTTAGTTGAATGATTTTAAGCTAAGTTAATGTAGCAATTTTCTTTTCAAAATTCTAATTGAGTCTGTCCTCTTTATTGCATATGATATTGATTTTTTCTCATTGATTTTGTGAATAGCAGTTATAAACGGTGGTTTATGATGCCAAATACTTTTGTACATCTCCAACAACACATAAAAATTTTTTATGGGAAAATATTATAGGGGAAACCAAAATTTTGGGAGCATTATGGCTTTAATTTTCTATTTTGTTTGCTATCTAATATTGGCTATTTTATTTTTTATTTTATTGTAGATGTTGTTGGAATAGGAGTATTATAACTAAGGCGCGGATCATGTGTTAATTGGTTCAAATTAATATCGTGTTGATTTGATCGATCAAAATATATTATCAAGACATATAATATATATTTTTACATAATACAATATATGTTCTATTATAAGATATTATAGATTGTATTATAAATATGATATGATAGAATATAATTTATGTTGATTATTTTTTTATGATATACTGATCGATCAAATCAGCACTATGCTAATTTGATCGGGTCAACACCAGATCAGCAGTCTTATGATTCATTTATTATGTGATCACAAATTAATTTTATAGATATGGGAAAGAGGGAGTAGTAAATATATTAAAAAATAGTTATTTTTCTCATGTTTTAAAATTTTATTTTTACTACTTTTTAAGCTAAATATAAGAAAAATAAATATATTTGTAATTTTAGAGGTTTAAAAATTGAGATTTTAAAATTTATTCACAGTTTGGGCACATTTAAGTCAAATACCGTTAAATAAGGACCACCGAGGAGTTAGACGCAAAGTTTATAAAACCACAATGGGGTTTAACGCAGTTTTAGAAGCACGGGGAATTTTGTACAATTTCGTGAAACCACATATGGATTTTGTGCAATTTAGCCTAAATTTTTTACTATTAAAATTAATTATTAGGACTGAAATTAATATAATCAAGTGAAATTTATAATAGAACATAATTTTTTACTATTAAAATTAGCAACTGCTAAGTATTTTAAATTAGTAAATTTAGATATTCAATAAAATTATTGTCAACTATCGGTCAATCAAATCATTCATTTATTCTGTGATCACAAATTAATATAATACAAAGAAAAGATGTCTCTACATAATTGTGTGATTCGCTTTTTCATTTTCTAATGCAATAAATTAAAAATGATTTTTTTTATTTATCTAAAGAAAATAAAATGAAATAACTGAACGATTACATTAATAAAAGACTCACTATCGATGGGATGTCTCACTCAAATGATGATGCAATTATGGTATTTGTATTTTATCATCGATTTAATAAAGTTAATTCTGGTTGAACTATCAATAAATTGGTTATAATTATTAACAAGCTCTAACAATCAATTATTTCTTACGATAATTAAGTTATGCTCGTTAACTACTACTAATTAAGTTAATAAATCTATGTATGTTCATTGAAAATATTGTCTAACCGCAATCCAATATAGAAAAATCCAATTCAAAACCACTAGTATCTAAAAAAAGCAATTAAATTTGATTGTCTAACCCCGGAAGAAACTATTCAATCTAGTTGTCACATCTTCAAATACAAATACAATTGCAGATATTTTACTTGAATTGGTTGTAGATTATTATATTGAATTAAAGACCGGCATGAAAATATCTAATTAATCTAACAATCATAAATGCTATTTTCAGAATTAGACAAATACGATAATAGAAAAAAACTTTTATAAAGGTAATTAAGAAATCTTCAAAATACTAGCACCAAAACATTATTATTCCTCAAATCAAAAAGATATTTACTTCATAATCAAATAACATATTATAAAAAATAAAAATAAAAAAAGATAAAATCATAGTTAGAGGGGAAATATTTTTTAAATATTTGCTCCGGCGCGATCTATCAATCTATTAAATTTAACAAAATTTATAATAATAGTTATAAACATTATCATAATATCTTAATATTTATGATTAATATAGATCAATAATATAAATTCAAGTTAATAAGAATCCAAAATATCTGTTTTAGAAGAGATTTTCTATACTATATTTTCTTCGTGATTTTAAGTGGGAATCCAATAAAATCTATGGAGTTTTAACTTTTTAAAATTTTTTAAATACCTTTAATTCTTTTAAAAAAAAAATTTAAAATTTTGAATTGAATATTTTTAAAATATTTAAAATTTGTATTTGATACATTCGGATTTTAAGAATCCAATGATATTCTATAAATTTAGATTGAATACACCTGGATAAGATTAATAAGTATCAAATATGTATATATTGATATTATTTATATTATGTTATGTTCT